TATCAAATGATAATTTTAGAAAATAAATTTAGACTTATTTATACTATTGCATATACGCTAACCATATCTAAATTTTAAATCAAAATTTGCAATTATATTTAAACGACTTTACAAAATATTCCCATTGGGGAAATCGTCTGCTTTTGTCACACTCTAGTGAGACTATTTTGATTGTATTAAAGATTTTAAACTATTAATAAGTTATAAAACAAGAATAGGTCAATTTGTGTATCCAAGAAGTGTCGTGTGTTGTCTTGGAGAGATTTTCGAAGTGTTTTGGGTTTTTGTAGGATTGTCGAATAAGGCCACACGTTAAGCTTTGGAAGACGGAAGCCGAAGGGCTCGAATGGTCAATGTTATATGGTCAAACGCACCTAACGCACCTAATGGTCAATGTTATTTAGCAAAAAAAACGTTAGCAAAATCCTCCCCACCCACATTATTCTCGGATGGCTCTACTTTTAACAGACGTAAACTTCAACTTTGCATTATTATATAGAAACATATGGCTTTCCTTAACTTTGCAACTGCATATAATGATATAAATGTACGTTAATATAAGATCTTATTGGTTCATTTACATATGTTTTTTATGTACATAATGCATATTCATGAACATTACTTATGTTGAAGAGTCATGACTTAATGTGTATACGTTCGGATCGTGACCTTTCGTGGACTCCATACTAATGTGGGAGGTCGGACATAAGATAAGATGGATCCTCATAAGCCCATATTTAACGGTTTTTACATAAAATTTTCAGTCTGATTTGTGGATACATAATCTTGTGAGTTTAGGTTTTCAAGCTAAGAGATGCATTGGTTTGCATATTCCGTATTATTTTGTAGGTCTCATAGCCAAAAGTGAATTTGCGCAAAACGGAGAAAAAATGTGAGTTTCCGGGATATATTGGATACGATCAAGATTCAAATTTGAAGGCACCGAAAAGAAAAATAGAGAAAAGAGAAAAGCTAGAGACTAAAGCAAGAAAATGAAATAGTATATATTGGAGGACGAGCATTACGTTTTTTTTTGTTTTTTTGCTCTTCAAAAAACAGTAATTTTCCGTTATATAATGATACTGCGAATTGTCCTACGAGTCTAGGCTAGAGATCAATTTCCGTTAAACATATCTTCTCTTTGGAAACTGTATATATAATTCACAAAGCGTTTGTAGATTTAAGAGATCAGCATATGTTTTATTCTCTTTCTCTGCCAAAAGCTGTTCACTGGAGAGGCATGTCCTGCGATTCTCTCGGCTGCAGGACTCATGTCATGAACAAATTTCACTGATTCAGATAATCGGTTGAGCAGATTCATCAGCGCAATCACTTCATTCCTTTGCAATTCGATCTGAAAAAATAAAAGAAATATCTGTTGCGTCAATAAAATGCCATGTTTCAAGAGAGAAAGTAAAGAAAATACACAATGCATCCGGTTTCAAAAACTGGAAAATGTGTGTTTTATGAGTACAAGAACGCACATTATGACGCAGATTGTCTTCACCGTTGACAGTGAATAGGATTTTCAATGCAGTGCCGAGTCCCAGAATCTGGAGCTTTCCCCATAGACGACATTTCTCACAGCCTACACAGTCCATTATGGCACTGCAAGGACACATCAAAAGAAATATACAGAATTCAACTTATTTAGAAACGACGAGCAACAAGCATAGACTCACGCTAGGAAAAAAAGGCTAGTTAAGGATTCAAGAAGGACCTTATGTTTCTGAACTGTTTTTGTATCTGTTGTTTCAGTTCTGGTCCACGTTGGCCTTTCCAGAGTTTAGCTTCATCAAATGGTACTGGACAAGCGGCTTTAGTTTTGGGGTCACTAACTAGTTGTTTCACCAGTGATTTGGTCTTCAAGTCCTCGATGACATTACCAGTTTCGTATTCAGCCTCTTCCAAGTAATTTTCAGCCTACAAATCGTGAAGGAGAGGAAAGAAGCTAACTGTGATTATTCTACACCATTGGGCCCCTTTTCCTTGGGTTTGGATAAAGAAAAGTGATAGTAACTGACCTTTGTCACTGCTCTGAGAACAAACAAAAATGTGAAGTATAGGTTCCGAACGCGATCTGGGTATCTTAACACACGATCATACAACAATGTCAGGTTTTGACCCCACTGAAACACAAAAACGGAGATAATTGGATCAATTCTAATTCTGCTCAAGAAACATGTATTGCGCATAAGACAGATTCATGAGGCAGATCTTACCAAGTTTGTAGCTTCATCAAGTAAATAATCTGAAGCTATATGAACTGAAATAGATGAGTGAAGACCAGAGACCAATTTGTACAATATCTTCTCTTCTTGGCACGACTCTTCAGATGCATCTACACATCACATAGAAGCCAGTATAATTGCAGGGGTTAGAAATCCATAAGAATTGATCAGCCACTTGGAGACTAAGGGAATAGAGAAACAAATTGACAAAACAAGAATGGAATAGTGAAGCTTACATTTGGGACAGTTTTCAGAGTATATAGCCTCCCATATCCTTCTAGCTGACGGGCCAATATAACCAGTGTACCGTTCGGGATTCAACCGAAGATTAACATATGTCATGTCATCTGCAATCATGTATCCAGTCATAAAAAAACTGCATCTAACACATTGCAATTCAAATCTAAAAAAGCTACTTGTTACATATCAATCTCATGAACCAGTTAAAATATCAACTGGATGACAGAGTGTTGCCATGTAAGTATGAAATGCATAGAACATAAAAGTCAGGTAGACAGACCGTTGTCAGTTTCATCATCACTTGTCCAGGGATTATCTGTGACTGTCCAAACACTGAAAGCTCTCGTGTCTACGGTACGGTCAACAGCAGCTTGTGGTTTCCCTTCTTGACAAACAGGATTGTATTGGCTTAATGGCTTCTTAAACGGTTCAGGGAACTCGCTTTCAGGACATTCACAAACACTACAATCTCTTAACCGGCACATGCCATCATCAGGCCAAAACGGGCAATCACACCATAGTTTAACCTATTAAGAAGATTCAGAGCCTAATCATAACATACACCTTCAAAAGATTTTCATTCCATGCTCAAAAAGGAAAGAGGAACTAACCTTGAAATATCGGTAAAATGGTGTCTTAACAAGGTCTTGAAGCAATGGATGCAAAACTTCCGTGTTTAGCTGATTCACCGTCTCGTAATCACAACAACAATCTTCGACCATCCCAATGTACTTCTGCTGCTCAGCCTAAGAACAAATCAATCACAAATAACATAAGAAAAAACAAAATCAACAAGTTCCACTGAGATTCAAAGCTAATCTCTTACACACAAACCCAAACCTAACCTAACCTAATTTTTCAATCAAAATACTCAATCAATTCGCACTATATCCCAATTTCCAATCAGAAACTTTACACAAGAGCTTCAAGAAATACCTAACCTGACGGCAGCTGCATATCTTTCCGGTAAACTCATAAATCGACGAATTCTGAATATTCAAAAACACAGCGAACACGACGGCTAAAAGAACGGCAGATATAGCTCCGATCAGTAAACTCCAACGCTTCGTCGATCCTTTCTCCTTCCCGTTCACGTTTCCGGCGTCCTTCTCCGCCATTAACCGATCGCAAAACGGACTACTAAATCTGAGGTAAGGAGAAGAAATGTCTCTGCTGAGAAAATCTGACACAAACAACGAGAAATCTCCGGCACAGAATTTTCTAATAAAAACAAAAAAAAAAAAGTTTATAAAACCGCAGCAGCTGCTAAGGAAAAAACCAACGGCGATCACAAAAAGTCACTTAAATCCAACGGTTGGGTACCTATTTAATTTAATTTACGGAGTAACAATTATATTAATTAATGTATGATTGAGTCAATTTATATGTTACAAATTCCTAGTTTTGGTATGAATACGCACATCATTAGGTTTTTGGGTTTTTAAATGATAAAATTTGATCGATCAGAATATCAGATTATTTATTATTTTTATAGAATCCCAGACGGATAATTCGGATTACATGTCCTAAAATATTTTATTTTTCTCTTATCCATTTAAATAAATATCATAAAAGGTATCAAACGAAAAATTATAGAAAGAAATGGAAATGGACAGGCCTAGATCAGATTATCTTATTCCATAAAGTGTTTAACCGGCTTGCAAATAGTGACTAATAACTAGATAAAACAAAAGTTGTATTTTCTTCATCACTGCTTCTGTTTCTTTGCCGTGTTGACCTCAGAAGAATTGCATGGTCTGGTTGATTTCTTAGAACAAGCTTTCACAGGCCCCTTTTCATCATCATTCAATATATCAACCATCAATCTCGCCTTTACTCTAGCTTTCGTCTGATCCTTACTTTCAGCTGCAAAATCTTTCCTCGTGTTGTCACTGGGCGTAATCTCATCCGTTTTCTTGCATTTGTCTTCGGTTTGTGGACTTGTCATGACCACCGGGGAAGCACTGTAGGTTCGATCTATGTTTCCCCATCTGAACATCAGGCTGAGTTTACTATCCATCAACGCATCTACGAGAATATTCAGCTCATCGATTGTGTACCTATAGAGAAAACTCTTCTTGTCACACCGACAGGCACAGAGCTTCCTCATGTGGCTCAGACACGAGTAACGATCAGCGGAACATGAACACTGAACAGCTGAAAGATACAAATCCGCAAAACATACACAGCATTCCCTCTTGCTCACAGCATCATAACTCTTGTCCATCCTTTTAGATTCTAGAGAATTGCTAAGGAACTCACGTCTGCTTTTCTCCTGATTGATCCGTGACTACATAAAAGAGAAAAAGCAAAAAGGTAGTGAGCAATTTCCTCACACTACCCAGATTTAAGGTCCATAATCTGAGGAATAAGACACGAAAAGAAGAACGGTGAGCATACCTTGACAATGTTGGAAAATAACCCGTCCTTACCACAAGCTTTTTTCCATCTCATACTGTCTGCTGTGTTTTTCTTGGTCAAAGAATTTTCCTCAGCTTCCCTTGCAGCGTTTTTCGTGGTCAAAATATGTTCCTTAAGGCATTTCACAGCTTCCGTTGCAGCTCTTAATAATAGCTTATCATACGATATCAAAGATTTTCTACTCTTCTCTTGATTCTGCTGAACAGAAATATCCCCATGGGGCAACCAATCAAGGGGAGCAAAATTTGCTTTCTCCAAACAGTTAAAGCCGCAGTCTACAGCAGAGTAATATGATCCTGGAAACATAATAACATACTGGCCAGGGTTCTGGACACACCGGGTTACTGGTATACCCTCCATGCTCAATACGTATGGAGACATCATCATCACCTGCCAAATGAAGTGCTTCCCTTGTAAAATGAACCGCGACTATAAGTATTTAATAGCTCACTAAAAATCATCAAAGTTATGATAGGCTTCGCTTTGAACAGATAAATCCAAATACTGAGTGATCTCTCTATGGCATGTCATGATGGTTTATGCTGAACAAGAACTAAATCACAAGTGAAATCATTGTTGATCACTCTTCTGTCTATTTTCTTTCTGAGTTTTGAAAAGAGTAACTTGCATTGATGCTTAATGTGTTTATAAGTACTTACAGGATCATGACCCATCTTTAGCTGTTCTCCTGACATCTCAGGTAATAATCTCTGCATGGCAGCCTTAAACTTAGATCGATGACATCCTGCTACAGAATACCACACTCTAGGAGCTCCCACATGCAAATAGCAGAGCGAGTAGAGTCTCTCCTTCTCAGATTTCTGTTAAGCAACAAATCGGAAGGAGACAAATATGAGGACTATACAAAACTCGAAATGCATAAAAATAATTTCTAGTGATAGCTTCCAAAGCAAACGCTATTTCTGGGTTGATCAGTTCTAATCATGCTTAGAGAAAATAATGGCTTCACATCAACTTTAAAACTTACCCACAACTGGGAAGACAGGCACATTCCTACACTTAGGCGAGGAACACAAATTGATTCGCAGTCTTCAAAAGATAGAAGAGAGTCAGGAAGCTTAGCCGTATTGTTCAGATTCCAACCTGACGTTCTGTACTTGCTAGATTCAGATGGTCCAGGTGAAGGAAATCCACTGCCAAACGTTCTGGTGTCTAGATCATTGCCATAAAGCACCTATATTACACGACGAGTTAGGGGTTATAGTCCGTTTCATATATAAAAGCACTACACTTGATTTTAACCTTACCCCAATTTCAACAAGTGGACTCTCAACAAGTTGTCTGTACTCTTTTTCAATGTCTCCTGTGGTTGGCTCCTTTGGTTTTGGTGATGGAGATGAGTTCTTGGAGCCCAAAACCTCATCCTTTATGCTAAAATGCCTCTTCTTGTATGAATCAGCAAAGCTTTTAAAGCTCTCCAAAGTATGACTAGGACCGCGTTCTATTCTACAAAACTTAGCCTTCTCAGATGCAGCATCATCACTATCCACATCAGCCTCCTTTTTAATCATTGGGTTCTCGGTTCGATATCCATCATAGAGCTGAACTTGAGTGAAAAATCTGGAATCCTCCCATACTTTTTTCTCCTCGAGAAGACACGGAGGTTTCCATGAAGGAGGAGGAACAACACAACAGATTCCATAAGGCTCAGCTCTGTCACGCAAGCTTGCTATATATGATACCGTGTCACTGAATTCCTGACGATTCAGAAAGGATAAGGAATATATTTCTCTGTAAGCATATATGATTGTTTACCAAAGACGATGTAACACAGCTTAATTCCCTAATTTATCTTTCATAGGCGCAAAGCAAACTGACCTCTTCCGTTGGGTTAAACACGGGAGCTTCCTCAAGGGCTTTGGTCTCGGAAGCTTTGGGTACCCGTCTTGCATGTACCTGTGAAAAGAATTTGTAAATACTTTAGTTAAGAATCCAAAAGACTCAATATGCAATCTCGATACCTACACTCAAAAATATCTAAAAGCATAGTAAAGCTACATGAATCAGCACATGCAAAATCAATTAGAGCAGGCATCAAAGTAACTAAAACCATAAGCTAGTAAGGATCTGGAATCCACCAAGAAGATTTCCTGCTTAACTAACATCAAGTATAATGTCTATTAGTAGCCTTGACTTAGCACACATTCCAGAAAAAATCCTCTTTGAACTCAAAGAATGTTTTTGATAGACAAAAGAACCGAGAGAGAATGAGAAAGCGTATCTTTATTGATAAAACAAAGGAAAACAAAATTCCTCCCCAAGAAATTGGCTCTTGCTTGAACAAAGATACTCAAAAGTACCCTCTAACAAGGTTTAGAGCCCCTGTCCTGTTGGTTAAGCCAAAAATCTCAAATATCTTCCTACCCCTACCGCTCTTCACAAGCTTATTAAATAAGAAAACCAAAATATCTACAAAAAGAAAACACTATCATAATCTGTAAAATTTCTCATAATCAGAGATGCCGAATACCGCATCACCATCAACTTTCAATCAATTACCCAAAAAATTATCCCAAACAATCAACCAAAATAATTCCTAAATCTCTACCAGTTTTCATCAAATTTTATTGCTTTGGACGGATGTCCATGTTTCAGCGCTGGTTACCATTATGCGTTACAGAGTGAGAAATTATCGCCTGAACAAGCATGGTTCTATAAATAGGATCCACACTTATACGTGTGTATATGCCTAGCTTCATCACAACAGCATACTAAGAAAAACTACTCTATATGGAAGAAAGAGGTAGATAGTTACAGGACCTCAGATTTCATTGGCTTTAAGGGAGTTGTGTGAGCATGCACAATCCAAGGTCTGTTTGTAAGGAACTTCTTGAAACTAGCTGCATCATCTGTACCGAATCCAGCTATCTGCTCTTGTTCCGACACAGACCTGGAACTTTCTTTGTCTCGGTGTACATTCCTCAGCACAAATGATGTTTGAGATACAAAACCTGGCGGGGTTGAAAATTTGTCCATATCTACAGGTTTAAAAGTACGCAGACCTTCAATTCCCATTAACTCCAATAGCCACCCAAAAGATAATTTGCCGAAGAAGGAAATATGTTGAACTTCAGAGGAGGTCAAGAAAACTGCAACTTCTTGCAGAAAATGAAAAAAAATCCAATGTCAAGTATAAACATAGTAACTAAGACAAGTGTTCAACTAGAAAAATGATGGTGTGACAAGAAAAGACTACATTTCAGAAGTATCAATTAGCTTTGATCTTTTCTAGTGCAGAGAACAATAATTTATTGTAGTTAGTCGAATCATCTTTAGTAACAATATTAAACATCAAAGCAAAGACCACAGAACAAGAATTGATAACAAAATGCTCTTCTTGGTTAGTCAAGGAACCTTACTCCTACGGAACAAGAAAACTATACTGGACCAAATACCATTAGATACCATCTAAACTTTTAAACTGTTAAGAGACAAGTCGTTCTTGCTTCCTCAAAACTATCAATTTCTCAGTGAAATCCAAACAGTCTTGAATATTTGAAAGCCAATCTTAACCCTAAATCTTTCTTGCTTCCTCAAAATGATCAATTTCCCAGAGAGATTAG